ATATAATCATCTTTCCCAAACTCCCATTTTCTAGTAGCAGTTGCCTCAACAGTTCCCTGCCATCCAGGCAACTGCCAAGCCAACTGCTCACTACATAAAATCCAAACTTCACCCAAACTAGAAAGTTGTCTCACACTGATTACAAAGAGGTTAAAAACTTTCGCTGTGCATCTATAAATCTCTCAAAAGATTATAGCTCAACTCATCTAGAAGGGAAAAGTCTTTAAAGCCGAAAAAGCTTTAAAAGTCTATTCACCCCCCTAGACTTTTACCTCTATCCGGGACCATCAAGTGGTATCAGAGCAAGTGTTCCTAGAGTCAGTTTCTGACTAATTTGAACTAAAGATCCAAATCCACTTCACTTCCCAAATACTTTCTAGAAATGGACAGTAAGCTTGCAAAGAATTTATTGTTCAACCAGAACAAATTTGATAAGTTGAAAACCAAGGATGTCTGGGATGAGCTCACAATGATCCAATCAGAAGATGAACAAAGCAGTTCAAGTGATGAAAGCAGCTCATCAGAAAATGAGGAAGAGGCCCTGACTTGCCTCTTTGGAATGCACCAAGATGATAGCTCCTCCCACAACTGTCCCATGGCCAGATCCAATGAAAATGACAATGATGAGGTATTATCATGTTCTTCAAACAGCTCATATGATTTCAGCTGTTCCAGTGTTGATATGGAAGCATTACTCCATGAATTTGAAAACTTTCAAAAAGATCACCTTCTTTTAATGAACGAAAACTGTAGACTTCAAGAAAATCTAATAATAGCCCAAGCTCAAATGAGTGAAGTGATAAAAATGAAAGTGATGGAGTATATGGCCCAGGAACCCCGGCCCACATACGGCCACTATTGCATTTAGGCCCAAAACAGGCCAAGCCCAGCAGAATGAAGCTCTAAGCAGCCAACATTACGCATATGGGGTGCCTTCGGCGGTATGGCCGAAGGCTACCATTTACGGATTCGAGCTCAGAAACATCAAAGGAGAACAAGGCTTGAAAACCAAGCCTTCGGCAATTGGAGCCCTCGGCACTATGAGGCCCCCGGTACGCAGAGCCTTCAGACTATCATCTACAGCCGAAGGCATCCTCCTCGACAGAATCTCCCATCCACATGCGCTAGATCAACGTACCAAGTACAAACGTCGCATCCAACCATCGCATTTAATGCGGCCACATGCGAGTGCCAGTGCCACCCCAGTTGAGGTGACCCCTCGACCACCAGATTGTTGACACGTGTCCCCGTCTAGCATTTATTGCTACTATAATTAGCAGCCCATTTCCCCATTGTAAAACACAATGAGTTCACATAATCGAATACTTTCTCTCTCTTACTTATTTGCTCTGACTTCTCTCTAGTTACTCCCCACAGTAACCCCTCAGATAAGCTACCCCGGGGTACACTATCCATCAGAAAGATTTTCTTGAACTTGAAAACATCAGTTTAAAAGGAAGGCTGAGCTCCCACTCTCTCCCTATTGCTAAGGAAGTTCAACACAACTGGAAGAACACATGATTAGGATACACATCTTTATCCGAACCATTGAAAGACTCTCCCAAATACTCCCCTATCACAGAAATCCTTTGTCTTTGAACTTGATTTCTGAGGAAGGCTATCTGAAGAAATCCTTGCAATCTCCCCTTTGATGTCTTCTTGAGAATTTGATCTTTGATGCCGGGGGTTGAGGGACCTTCAGTATCTTGCATGTAGACCTTGCCTTCCAGAAGTTGCTCTTGATAAGCTTGGATGAAGTCCGGTGGCGCCTCTAGAATGATAGTTCTTATGAGTTTCAGACGCTCATGGAATTCATCTTCAGAGTTTGATTATCTGACCTTTGTCTCCTCCACAATGTAATCTTTTGACTATTTGGAATGGATGCATTTGAGGAGAACTTGTCGGTGGCACAGCGGAAAATGATGGTTGACTTGTGAGCGTAGCTGACCATTTGAGTTGCGGAGCTAGTAGAGAGAGTGATGGAAGAAAGAAGTGTCTGAGAATGATTTTTGACAGTTAACAGCATGTGGAACACTCTCCCCCTCATGACGGTCCGATGAATCGGGGCGTCATGCCTTTATTCCTTTATTCTGTGGAAATAAAAATAGGAAAAACAAGCAGAATGTAAAGAAGATAACGTAGCCTCCCGGGGTCGTGAAGACGCCCGTTATCATCACTATAGAGATAAACTCTAAAGCAATGGCCTAAAAATGTTGGTGATTCTTATGTTGCAACAGCATGACTTCCTTCCAATTATTGGTCTACATCTGTAATAGATGAGCCCTATGGAAGTTCTCGCAAGTCTTGAAGACTAGCAACTGACTCTAAAATGTGTCTGTGTCCTAGAAAATTTCAAAACATTTGGGAGTGAGTAACTAGACATGACGTGATCAATGAAAGTTCAGTGGCATGGGGCTGAGGCCACTGTAGTCAGTATCACTTGCCTTAAAAGGAGACAGTAATGAGAGATGAGGTTCCCCGTGAAATATGATTAAACACCTGTCTGTTGGGAGACTAGTGAGTGGTCTTGGGTAGGGTTAAGCATGCACTGTTGGACAAGATGCAACGACTTCTACCCGGGATCTGATTAAATCAGTCCTGAACCTATGGGGATTGTCCAGAATATTTCAGTGGCTAGGAGTAAATGTTCAATTCATAGCAGGCAGTTGAGGTAGCAGACTCATCATTGATTATTGTATTCTTTCTCACTTGAGCCTTCTGCTTCCTAACGCTCATAATGTTCACTCACTCACTCACTCGCTCACTCACTCACTTACGCTCGGCTTTGTCCCTTGGGTAGGCTTAGTTGGGTTTACTAAGCCATAGGGACATGTTCTCTCATTACATTCTTCATTTTCTCTCTGTACTCCCCCTCAACTGGAGCACTCGGTATGCTTTGTCATTGTTAGGCACCGGGGAGGATAACATTGAACACTCCCCCTAGAATGTTGCATCCGTTGAGAGATTCCTTCACTAGTACAGAAAAGGCTTTTCACATCGGTCAAAAAAGGCTTTTCACATCGGTCAAACAGCCGATGTGGTTCCAGCCCATGTGAAAAGTAGAGACTTTTCACATCGGTCAATTAACCGATGGGGAAATTCTTTCTATATCGGTCGTTCAGTGCCCGATCTAGAAGATAGTCCAAAACGGCATTTCTAATGATATTTCACATCGGTTATAACCCATGTAAAAAAGATTTCACATCGGTCATTTTACAACTGATGTAGAAAAGCTTCAATTTTCCCGGAGCATAGGTTTTTCACATCGCTTATAACCCATGTAGAAAATATTTCACATCGGTCATTTTATCAACCGATGTGAAAAGCTTCATTTTTTTCCGGAACATGAGTTTCACATCGGTTATAAGTCATGTAGAAAAGCAATCACATCGGTTATTTTACAACTGATGTGAAAAGCTTCAATTTTTTTGGTATTTTTCAGGAAACAATTGCAATATGACCCACGTTTATACTATAATCACATCATTAATAGTATCATCAACTACTATAGCACAATTTTTCACCTGTTCACTTGATCCATCTAAAATTATAACACAAGCTATTTTTCAATCCTTCCATAAATGTTAAACAAGTTCGGGTAACAACTTGGTACATAATAATAAGCTAAAATAAAACAATCCTTGCACAAGTCTAGAGTAATAACACATTGTATAAAGTTACAAGTCTCATCATCACTCAAAAATTAAAACAAACACGTTCTTCATGTGTCGTTGATGGATTGCGTCATTTCTAAGAAATATTATGCCCAACGAGTTCGTACTTCTTCAATCTCTTCTGACGGGAATGGTTCCGGATTGGCGAATCGCTACAAATTAAATAAGAAGGTTATTAAAAAACATTACATGGAGCAAACCTATTGAATGTAAATAAAATAATAATGTACATCATCCCACATTTCAAGAATTACCGCCCAAACAATATTCAATATATGCAACATCACATCATAACCACATTCATAACTCACAACTTGCATTCGAGACTACAACTTTCATAACGCCCATGGTTCATCACTCCCCGCCAAGCTTAGTTCATAAGGAATAGAGAAACTGTTGGTAATTGGAGAATCAAGCCAAAAGATCATTAAGTTGATACATAGACAATTAATTTCATCATAAATTTGAGGCTGATAAGTATTGTTTATCTGATCTATATGTTTTTTTCTATAAAAAAAAGTTTATCAAGCTATCCAAGAAGAGGGTACGGGGCCCAAACAAATTTAACAAGCATATACGTAAACTAAACAAAGAAACCATGGCTCTTGTGTATCTGAAGGTATTCATGTTTTGGCAGACATAAATATGCTCTTTTGAAACCAACCAAACCAAATAAAACTAAGGTTTTCCACTATGATGGGGTTAGCTAAAAGGATTAAGCGGTATCATTTCTTCCTACTTACCTCAATAATTCTTCTTTTTGAGATTGAGATCGATCATTGCCCGCACCTTTTCTGGATAAAGTATAAGTTAAGGTCAACATAGTGAGCCTTCGAGTTAACATTGCTTTCAAGGATAGATGATGTCAACAACAAAATGCTAGTCTTCTGTAAAGAATTGTTAAAGCATGATCTAACCTGCAGGCTAAAATTTGGAAGAGATAAAGGGACTTGGTGGAGAATTTATATATGGCATCTTTAATATGATCTTTGCCAAACAGATATACTACAGGATATCCAAGAAACCATCTTCATAGAAACAGAACAATACATTGATTAATTACTTGAAAGTCACGTGTTAAAAGTTAAAGTAAGAATATGAGTCACCAACGGACAAAGAAAAAGTCGCAATTGAGCAGCATAGCAGTTTATCACGTAGGGAATAGGCAGTTAAAAGTGTTTACTTCTTTGTATGAAGCAATCTGCAGCATGACAATGATCAACACAACATCCGTTAATGTTATGGATAATATTGAGAGAAGACATGAAACTGTGTTACTCAGAGTTGGGTATATAGGGGCATTTGGCATAACCTCCTGTGCTTGCTGGAGAACTACCAGATGAAGTATTACTTCTACCACATACTCTCTTGGCCACAGCTGCTCTACGTGGTGGAGGATTACAACGGAAAAATCATCGGCTACGTGCTGTCTAACATGGAAGAGGAGACCTCCGAGTGCCATGGACATATCACATCACTCGCGGTCCTTCGTTCCCATCGCAAACTCGGCATTGCCACCAAGCTCATGACCGCTGCTCAGAATGCCATGGAACAGGTGTTTGGTGCAGAATATGTTTCACTCCATGTAAGGAAAAGTAACAGGGCTGCATTCAAGCTGTACACAGAGACATTAGAATACAAGATCCATGATGTTGAAGCAAAGTACTACGCAGCCGGTGAAGATTCTTACGATATGCGGAAGCAGCTCAAGGGTAAGAAACATCATGACCATGGCCACCACCATCACGGTGGTGGGTGTTGCTCTGGGCATGCTACTGAAGGAAAGAATGTTTGAGACTAGAAGGGTAAAGGTAGAGTAATTTGCGCGCAAGGCGTCAAATGCATTTATTATATATATTGCACTTGCAGGAAACTTTTATCTCTTGACCCCTCCCTCAAAATGAATATATTACAACTAGGAATATAAGCTTTGAGCTTATTTGAATATAAAGAAAAAGGGCATTTGGTATAAATTTTATATTGCAATTTAATGTTCTAATTTTTTTTGAAAACCATAGCATATGCCTTAGATTACGGATAGCCTGTACATGACACCTCACATAGGGCTATCATAAAACAGATCAATAAGAGAAATTCTAGGGAAAAGAGAGGTTACCCATCAAGTGTTGGCACGATGACCCCAGTTTCTTCAATGTCTCTACTGAGATCAATAAGCTCAGATGACTGTGAGCTATGTGGCCTATTGTTAGCCATCAACTCTGGACTAGAATGTTCTGAATGATTACAACTTATCCCCTTCAATAAGGAGCGATGAAAGTATTCTTTGTGTCATCACAAGTTCCACAATTGCAGGTCTCTCTTCGGTGCCTCTTGTTATCATCTGAAATACTTGCATTTAGCAATTCTCAATGAAAAAAGTAAAAAAGTATAAATAAATTATGTTAAAAGAGACACAAAGAGCTTTATACAAAAGCTTCTCAAATGAATGGGTGACATGGGCTATGTACTAATTTAAGAAGCAAATATTTACACGCTCAGCCTTTACGTTACCCAATATACTCAGTAGTATACAGCTGCGTTCTAATATTGACCGAGAAAAAGAGAAGAGCAAAGATACAATAAATTGCTGAAGACGATTTAAGAGTTTGGGAGTTACCGTAAATTGCTGAAGACGATGACATGTCCGCTGCTCGAACGCCGTCCGCCTTCCACTAGAACGCCGTCTGCCATTCGCTGGAACACCGCCCGCCATCCGCTTGAACTCCAGCCGCTCGAAGTCTATCCAAAGCTCTAATTTCTGAACTGCTCTTCCGTCTTCTTTCCGTCGCGAACTCGCCGTCCGTATTGAACTCCAGCCGTCGCGATTCCGCCGTCCGTATTGAACTCCAGCCGCTCACCGTCTCTCTGTCTTCTTTCCTTCGCATCGCTCTAGGTCTGGGCTAAAATAAGGCGCTATAAAAGTCGGGAACCAAGACATTTAGGATCGATTCCTTATATTCCCCAAACGGAGTTGTTTCATTTCTTCCGCATCGGTTGGTTTGAACGATCTAAAATAAAGTTTCAATAATTATGAAAATTACCCCGTTTTTCTTTTCACATCGGTTCCAAATATAACCGATTTAGAATATTTTGTAAAATTTTAAAAAGTACCCCGATTCGCTATTTAACATGGGTTATAACAACAACCCATCTAAAAAAGTTTATAAAAATTATAAAAAGGACCCCATGTTAGTATTCTACATGGGTTTTAAAATAGCACATGTAGATAAGCTGATGTAAAATGGCTTTTTTGTACTAGTGCTTGCTTTGTCGGTGTAAGGCGCCAGGAGGAGAAAATTGAAACTCCCCCTCAGAATGTGCAAGGATTGATTGCTCACAGCTCGTCATACCCGCCATGTGTGTGGGGCAATCTGAACAAATACCATACATGACGGTTTCCCTGAGCTCATCATCTAGAATTTCAGCATATTGATGATCACATAATGTTGATGAGTCAGGGGAGGCTTCAGTGGTTTATTGTTGCTTGTTGTAGAATGACCGTTGACGCGAGGTTGATTGAATTATCTACGATTTTCGGACCTTTACGTTGAAGCTTAGACCCTATTTGATCTTTGGTTCTACTTTGGAAGAATTTGATCAGATTTGCCTAAAATGACCTCTTGACATCGGTGATTTACAAAGTTTGTAGGAAAACTAACGTTTTGACCCTCAAAGACTGCGAGTGAAGGCGCGTGAGAATGGGTTCTGCGTCGTATCTCAAGAATTAATCTAGATCTTTTCGTTAGCTTTCCAACAAAAAAAGGTTTGCTAAAATCGGATCACCGAGTCAAAAGTTATGGCCAAAACAGTGAAGACATGCAAAAACTTTGAATTTTGAGGAAATTCTTCGAAGTTGAGGTTCTCGACCTTGAATATCGAGATCAGGAGGATTTTAAAGAAATTCTAAGGTAAACGTCGAAATCCCAATCTCAAGTTTTAAATCTCGAGATTATAATATCGAGGTTTAAATCTCGAGATCAGAATCTCGAGGTCTAAATCTCGAGATTACAATCTCGAGGTTTAAATTTCGAGATCACAATCTCGAGGTTTAAATCTCGAGATCACAATCTCGAGGTTTAAATCTCGAGATCACAATCTCGAGGTTTAAACTTCGAGATTACAATCTCGAGGTTTAAACTTCGAGATTACAATCTCGAGGTTTAAATCTCGAGATTACAATCTCGAGGTTTAAATCTCGAGATTACAATCTCGAGGTTTAAATCTCGAGATTACAATCTCGAGGTTTAAATCTCGAGATTAATATCTCGAGTTTATCCCTTAGAAGAACGTCGAAATTCACCTGCAAAAACAACACCTCGAGACTTCGAAATCTTCAGAATTTCGAAATGTTTAGAACATCGAAAACTTTGGAGTTTCGAAAACTTCAGAATATCGAAAAACTTGCATTTTGAAAAACATTAGAACATCAAAAACTTTTAAAACTTTGAAAAGTAGAGATTCATCCAAAAATCCTATAATGTAAAGCTTCGATGAACTGCAAAGGATGTCAAGCTTTGAAAGAATTCCGAGTTTCAAGAAACGCCAAACTTTGAAAGATTCAAAACATCGAGAAATTCCAAAAATCTCGAAATCTTCAAAACTTCGAAATCTCCCCTGTCAAATAAAAACCAGAATCTCGAGATCCTCAAAAACATCGAAATCTTACAAAATTTCAAAATCTTTCAAACTGAAAAAATCGAGTTTTGAAATTTTGAAAACAGTTCTGAAAAGCCCTTGATCTCGCGATTCCACCAGTATCAAAATCAAGTCGAACTCATTTCTGCAGCTAAGGAAAAGTAGGATCTCGAGATCTCAGTGTAATGATCTTCGAAATCGAAAAAATGCAGAAATCGAAAAATGAAACATGCTGTAGAATCGTTAAGAAGAGGTGATTCTAACAGTATAATTTTTACAAAGTTTCGACCAAAAACAAGATCACAGAGGCAAATATCGAAATAATGAAATACAAGAGAAAAAACAGAGTCTCTCGAAAAGCAGATACGAAAAACGCAGATAGATTCAACCTTTTTCACGCCTCGGCTCTGATACCAATTGATAAACCCAAATATTTAAACAATCAAACAACCATAGCAGTTATGAAAGAAGCAGATAGAAAGATATGGAGAAGATGAACCGAATTTGGTATATCGTATGAAACCCTGCCACTCTCCCTGGAGAAGGAGAGCATCAGAAACCCTACTCTTTCTATCTCGCCTCTATTCTCTAAAGCCTCTATTGATCGCTAGGGTTCCCGTAAGTTAGCGTCCTTTTATAGGAGAAGTTGGCTAACTTACGGGTTACAAGGAAGCCCCCGGGCTGATACACATTTGTGGCCCGTATTACACGTTTAATTAATAACTACACAAATACAAAGATAACTAACTAGATTGAACACCATAAAATATTCCCAACACCCCTATCACAGAACACACCACAAGCCAACAAGACACAAGGAAAACAAACCAACAAAAACCCCACTCCCAAACTCTGTCAAATAAAAGGAACCAGTCCTCTCCCAGATCAAAATCCAAACTCCCGTACAAACCCAACTTCCAAAACAACCAACCAAGTCAAAGACTTGGTTGGCAACCAATCAAAAGGACCAACAATATTCCAAAGAAAAAGCTGATCACTCCTAGTACCCATATTCCTTCCCCTATCTTCATAAGGAATAATGTTCACAAATATGTAGCCATTCCTTATGATTACAATACTCCGAATGGCTATAGATCCATCAGCTTAGATTCAAATGGTCCTAGAAGGACATGGATGTCCAAACTCATTCAAAGGAAGATGCCCACTAACTTGTGGGCTAATACTCAAAACTGATAAATACGGGAAAGTGCTGGAGCAGCTAACTTACAAGAATGATACAAAGATTCAAGCTGCTTCATTAATGATGGTCATCAGTACAATTTAATGAAAAATCTCATACTTTCTCTTGAAAAGAGAAACTCGCCGCTAAAAACATTAAATCAACAATGTCTCGACCTCTTAAACAAATCTCGAAAGATGAAGAGACGATCTGAACAAATTGGATATAAATCCTCTTCTCGAGCATGTAATAGATCATCTCAAAATCTTGCATCTATTTTTCTACAAACCTTCCTTCAAAACCTCTCCTTCGCTCGAAATGGCTAACTCATCTAAGAATATCTCCCTAGAACTTTCTCTCGCACCTCCAAACCAACAGAGACCCGCCGCAGCAGAAGAAACTTTTTGCTGAAATCGAATCCATGACCCTCTTCAACAACTACAAGGGAACTCTGGATAGAGAGTTTCAAAGAACGATGAGGTTGAGAACAAGCAGATTCTCACCAATCAACATTCTCTTACTTGGCTACGACTTCATCCGAGAAGAAGAGAGATTTGCTCTTGAATGGATGCAGACGTCAAACATTAGGTTTGCTCTCTGCAAAGAAAATATTGTCAGAGTCTACAATACCAAACTAGAGATGATAAGACAAGAGGTGGCGAGACAGAAGAAAAGAAAGACATATGCAAGCTTCTGTGTTGGAGAACCATCAACTAGAAGGAATCAAGAGTAGAATAGGGAACACCAAAGAAAAATGCTACCAAAAGAGGGGGAAGAAAGAAGTCAAACATTTTAGTCTCAGTATTATCTTATTATTCCTAAGTTAAATGTTTGACTAATATCTTCTTTTGGCATCATCATAAAGGGAGAAATTGTTAGACCCTAGATTTTGATAAACAGTTTTGATGATGCCAAAGTTTTATGTCCCTAGTCTTTTGTAGCATTTAACTAAAGAAATCAAAATGATATATTCTGCTCTAACCAAAAT